CCAACACTCATTCAAAAATTATTAGTGACATGCCTAAGTCTGAAATTGCAAAGTCTTCTTATACTCAAACTGATATGTATGAGCAAACTGAAGAGACTTATATAGATTATAAGACTGAACTAAAGGGGTCATTAACAAAATATTTAACTAGTACCGATAGTGTCAAGTAAAGAAAAGGAAAGTCAGTCTCTCATAGTAAAATTATCTAGAATTTCCATTCCTGTATTCTCAGGACAATATTTAGAGTGGGTTAGTTTCAGAGATTTGTTTCTGTCTTTGGTACATAACAATAAGACGTTAGACGATGTACAACGTTTACATTATTTAAAAAGCCATCTCTCTGGAGAACCAGAACAATTACTACGTCACGTTCCTATCACACAGAGTAATTATAAAGTATGTTGGGATCTTATTGAGAAACGTTACAACAACAAAAGGTATCTTGCTAATTGTATTTTAAAGAGGTTCATGAGTCAAAAAAATGTAACGTCAGAGTCATCTACTGGTCTAAAAGAGCTTTTGGATACAACAAATGAGTGTATAAATGCATTAATAAATTTAGGCATTAATGTAACTTCGTGGGATATCATAGTAATTTATATAGTTAGTTTAAAATTGGATACTGAAACTAGAAAATTATGGGAAGTAAAAATTAGTGAAACTGGTGATGACTTACCTTCTCTAACACAATTTAAAAGTTTTCTTGAGAGTAGATTTAGATCGTTAGAATTTTTAGATAACAGATCTGTAAAAGTAAATTATTCTAATCGCACTCAATATAATACAAAATCACTTCTTGTAACTACAGTATTTTCATGTGCTTATTGTAATGAAAACCATAAGATTTACAAATGTAAAAAATTTGCAAAAGCAGACATAGACACGCGGCGTAATTTTGCTCAAACCAACAGTTTATGTTATAATTGTCTAGGTTCTAAGCATTCGGTTTACTCATGCCAACAAACCACTCGTTGTAAAATATGTAAGAAAAGACATCATTCATTACTACATCCTAGAAGTATAGTACAATCAGCCGATAATGAAGTAGGTAGTGATCAATCGGCTAATAGTGATGTCGTCGTACCAACGACATCAGCAACACAAGACGAAGCTAGAAATGTCGTAGCATGTTTTTCTAGGGTTGACACCCAAGTGTTATTGGCCACCGCTTTAGTTAAAATTGTTTCAAAGGCTGGCAAGAATATCACCCTCAGGTCGTTGTTAGACCAAGGTTCGCAGGCTTCATTTATTACTGAAGCAGCAGTTCAGCTTCTTGGGTTAAAGAAATATTCAAGCAGAAGTCAAATATCAGGGCTAGGAAGTGATCAGGCGGGTTCTTTCACCTCTAAGTCTGTAGTGTTTTTAAAAATTCAATCACTCCATGACCCCAACTTTGTTGTTGATGTAAAGGCTCATGTTTTAAAGAAGCTAACTACTTTTCTTCCAGAACGAAAGGTTGTCTTACCAGTATTAACAGAACTGTCTAAATCAGATTTAGCAGATCCTACGTACACCACACCCAACAAGATTGACTTGTTATTGGGTGCTAAAGTTTATGGAATGATCTTGGAAGAGGGTCTTATTAGGGGATCATCTCAATCATTAGTTGCTCAAAAAACCAAGTTAGGTTGGATATTGTCAGGAGAGATAGAATCTTCTGGTAACAATGAGAAAGAGTGTTGTTACTCAATTGTTAGTTTGCATTCTCATTGTAATGAAAACGAACTCCTACGTAAATTTTGGGAGTTAGAATCAGACAATTCCAATCTGAATCGTAAACATCTCACGCCTGAAGAGCAGAGATGCGAGGAACTGTTCGTCGCCACTACCAAACGAGATTCATTCGGTAGGTATGTTGTCAAATTACCATTTCGTGATCAAAATCCAACTTGTATGTATGGTAATTCTCGAGATATAGCAGCTCGTAGGTTTTATTTGTTAGAAAAGAGATTATTAAAAAATCCTAAATTAAAAATGGATTATTCAAATGTCATAAAGGACTATTTAGATTTGGGTCATATGGAGCTTGTACCTGATGATGAACGTGATAATAAAAACGCTGTTTATTTGCCACATCATCCAGTCATCAGAGAAGATAAAAGTACTACTCAAACACGCGTTGTGTTTGATGCTTCGTGCAAAGATTGCAACGGTGTATCCTTGAATGATGATCTAATGGTTGGTCCGACTCTTCAGTCCGATCTGAGACATCTTATCATGCGCTGGCGATTGTATCCTATATGTCTAGTGGCAGACATAACTAAAATGTATAGACAGGTGAAGGTTTTCCTGAAGATACAAACTTTCAGCGTATCTTGTGGCGTAATCCAGATAATCAAAAAGATGACTTACAACATTATAGGTTACTCACAGTTACTTTTGGGACTGCTGCCGCACCTCATCTAGCGGTAAAGGCCTTACAGCAGGTTGCTATTGATGAGGGTAATAAATATCCACGTTTCTGAAAGAGTCCTCAGGGATTTTTATATGGATGACTTGTTGACCGGTTGTCAGAACGTTGAAGAAGGTCAAAGGGTCTATAAAGATATGAAGATGTTACTAGGCTCAGCAGGATTTCAACTCAGGAAATGGTGTAGCAATAGTGAAAGTTTGCTAGAGAAGATAAAGGAAGGAAACAAGGATAAATTAGGTAATCTAGAACTAAAAATAGATTCAGTAATGAAGATACTTGGACTTACATGGAATCGACGCTCTGATGTCTTCGAATACTCCGTTCAGTTGCCGCCACTGAGCGAACCTGTCACTAAAAGAAAGGTTATATCGGATGTTGCACGATTGTTTGATCCTCTTGGCTGGATCGCACCCACCATTATAACTGCTAAAGTATTCATACAGAAGCTTTGGCTTTCTGGAATCGATTGGGATGAAGAACTTCCATCTCAGTTATTAAAAGAGTGGATTATATACAGAAACGAATTATGTTTACTTACCAATTTACAAATTCCTAGATGGATTAACTCGAGGGCTGATGACAAGTTAGTTGAATTACATGGTTTTAGTGACGCGTCGAATGTGGCATACGCTGCTGTAGTTTATGCACGTATAGTTAGTAGAAATGGTGTAATACATGTAAATTTACTTACCTCTAAAACCAAAGTTGCTCCTGTTAAACAGATATCCATTCCCAAACTCGAACTGTGTGGCGCCGTCTTGCTCGCGAAACTGCTCCTGGAAGTGTCAACGGTTCTTACTGTACCTAAAGAAAATATTCATGCTTGGACCGATTCAACGGTTGTACTCGCTTGGCTAAGAAGTCATCCGAGTAGGTGGAAGACTTTCATTGCTAATCGGGTTTCAGAAATACTAACGGTTCTTGATAGTAACCAGTGGTCACATGTCCAATCAAAGGACAACCCTGCGGATTGTGCCTCCAGAGGAGTCAAGCCTCAGGATTATCAAAATGATTTGTGGAGCACAGGACCACTTTGGCTGAAATCAGAAAATATTATTTATAAAAACAAAGAGGTAAATGATACAAATTTAGAAGAGAAAACAAACAAGGTATGCTATGCAACTACAAGCGAGGAATTTAGTCTATGGAATAAATACTCATCATTGCGCAAACTTGTCAGAGTTGTTGCTCTATGTAGACGATTTCTTCTTTCACGAACTGCTCTCCAACCTGAAAAGAAAAACAAATATGTTAGTAATGAAGAATATACTGAAGCTTTGAATGTATGTATCCGACAACATCAATCTATATATTTTCAAGAAGATCTGTATAATTTAGAAAAAACTGGAAAACTTAATAATAAAAGCAAACTTACCTCTCTCAGTCCATTTGTTGAGGATGTTGGTGTCTTGCGAGTTGGTGGACGATTACAGTATTCTCAAATGTCTGAAGAAATGAAACATCCTATCCTCATTGCTAAGAAATCTCATTTTACTCATTTATTAATTGCTGAGGCTCATTCCAGAACTCTTCATGGTGGACCTCAGCTCATGATAAATTACTTGCGAACCAAGTATTGGATTATAGACGTTAAAAATATGGTTAAATTGTACGTTCGTAAATGTGTTGTCTGTATTCGTCATGGATCTATTGTAGAACATCAGCTAATGGGTCAACTTCCTTCGGTAAGAGTTACAGCTTGCCGACCTTTTTTTCGTAGCGGTGTAGACTTTGCCGGTCCTATCAGCATTCGTACTAGTAAGGGTAGAGGCCATCACTCCTATAAAGGTTATATATGTCTTTTCATTTGCATGGCTACTAAAGCTGTTCACCTGGAGGCAGTGAGTGACTTAACTACTCAGGGTTTCTTGGCAGCTTTTAAGCGCTTTGTAGCAAGGCGAGGACATTGTGCCGATATATGGAGTGATAACGGTACGAATTTTATAGGTGCCGCTAGAGAACTTAAATCACTTTTTTCTACAGAAAGGTCTGCTATAGCGACAGAAATCGCAAATTCACTTGCTTGCAATGGCACTAAGTGGCATTTTATCCCTCCCCGCGCTCTAAACTTTGGTGGACTCTGGGAAGCAGGGATAAAGTCCACAAAATACCATCTTCAACGCGTAATTGGAAACTCCACACTTACATATGAGGAAATGGCAACAGTCCTGACCCAAGTGGAAGCTTGTTTAAATTCCCGGCCACTCTCTCAGATTAGTAACAACCCTGGTGAACAATATGCACTTACCCCAGGGCATTTTTTGGTGGGAGAGCCCTTAGTTGTAGCTCCTGATTCAAATTATGAAGCTTGCAACCTTAGTAATCTCAAACGTTGGCAACTAACACAAAGGATGTTGCAGCATTTCTGGCGACGTTGGTCGCAAGATTACATTACTCAATTCTTTCATCGTCGTAAATGGAAACATCTCATTCAAGAACCAAATATTGGTGATGTAGTGTTGGTAAGGGAGGACGATTTACCACCTGCTAAATGGTTGTTTGGTATAATAATTGATAAACATGAAGGTTTGGACAAGATTACACGCGTTGTTAGTCTTAAATGTAAGGGTAATATTATTAAAAGACCATTATCTAAGATATGTTTACTGCCTGTAACAGAATAAGTTGATTTGCAATGGCAGTCTATTTTCTAAGTAAATCTGTCAATTTGTCAGAATTTGTTATTGTTTAATTAAGCTTAAAGTAATTTTGTTAAGTATGTTAATTTCTACTCATGTTTTGTAATAGTTTTATAGCATTTTTGTTTGTCTATTCGCTCAACTTTAATATTGTTGATTTTGTATGTTAATTTTATTTTTTTTGTAGTGATGAACAACTAAAGTACTGTAGTTGTCCATGGTGGGCGGTATGTACAAATTGTAATAAGTATTGGCCGTAATAGTTTACAGTATGAAATACTAGATGGCGCTGTGTCAATTCTAAAACGCGCTATAGTTTCGTTTTGATCATTACATGTATTCGTTGTAATGCAAAAATTAAATTGTCAATTAACCTTGGTACGTCTTTTATTTGTATAATACTTCTAGAATGTTAAACACAGGTAAACATAATAATAAGTGATTTAACTTGTCCTCTTCTGATATATTTTCACCAGCGTTTCTTAACTCATTTATGTTTTTCTCAAACGTGTTTAAAAATTCTGTGGGGTTCTCATTATCCGCCATTTTTAATTTTAACAATTTTCTCTTGCATAGCAATTTGTTCGCACTTGACTTTGTCATATAAATAGAATCGAATTTCTGTATCATTTTTCTTGCGCTATCCTCCGATATTATTATTTCTAACTGGTTGTTATTCACGCTATTAACTATATAATTCTTGGCACGCAATTCCATTTTCTTCCAGTCACATTCTGGAATATCTTCCGGTTTTGAGTTTTTTTCTATAACCTGACTGCATCCTTTCATGTCCAAATATAATTTTAATCTGTACCTCCATTTATCATAGCAGGTCCCATCGAAGATTACGAGATTCAATTCTTCTTTGTCTTTATCGGCCATTTTTTACTTTCAAACTTTTTAACTTTTTAAACATAAACCACGTGCACTGCTACCATGTTATAATAAAGGCCAGTTTATTGTACAATCACTTTATTGTAACAACTAAACTTATTAACTTATAAAAACAAAGGCAGTAATATTAGAGTCATTTCCGTAGACTTTCATTTACACATCATGGCGAACGAAACACACAGTACTCGTTAGTACTCGTTACACATACATGCCATTTTGTACAGCACTCTATTGACAATTACTTTTACAATGACATATGTTTCAGTACGATCATAGACTACATTATATTTCAACAAAAACAACAGTGTATTTATTGTGAACATTTACAAATAACATTATAAAAATATATGAAATACTGAAAATTACCAAAACAAGACAAATAATGCAGCTAATGCTGATATTTTAAAGATTGTAACCAAAAGAAACACCTTCTAAATTGTTTCTTATACTCTAAAAACCGTTTCAATTCCACGCTGTCATTTCGGCAAAATAGCGATTACGTGACATTGCAACGAGGTTACTAAATCGACATTCGATAGAAATAATTTTTATCGATATGTTAAGTTGCGTTTACGTTGCAATGCTAGTTGACAGCGTCAAATGGCGTCAATATAATCGCATTATTGACAGATGACGTCATTTTCACTACGTTGCATACGAAAATCGTTGCGAACGAAGTTAGATAATTAGCCCACTGGTGAGTATTGAACGATGAAATTGTATATTTTTTAGTAATTTTGAACGATTTTTAGCAGAATTTTACTAAATGGAGCGATGATTTGCGATGATTACTCTTAGGTAATGGGATACGAAACGACCGGATGGAATCAACAACAAGAATATGAATGCGACTATTTAGGCACAATTTGGAAGAAACGATGTTTAAATTTAAGAATATTTAATATGAAATGTTACCTCTTAGGTAACCTGGGTTTGATATTTTTTCAAAAAAATGTCAGAATTAAACGAGAGTGGCGTAAACCGACGAGGCGTGGTGGTGCGAGGATGTCAGGGAAATTCTAGGTAGGGGAGCAAAGTTTTAGACGGAACTTATAATTATTTGGATTAGACCGAAATTTAGAATGAAAATTGACCGAAATCGGACCTAGGTTTTACGCTACTAGACGGGGGATACTGTAGGCACCCTAGGACAATAAAAGTCTTGGGTGAAAACTGAAGATAGTATGAAAGAACGACGGCTGAAACCGAAATTTGTAAATTGTTTTAAAACTTTCAGACTAAATTACTGATTTCAGAACAACTTGGTGATCAAGAGAAACGACCTACAGGCAGGTGAGGGTGATCACTAGCACTCTAAGATAACAAAAGTTTCTGAAGCAGACGACATGGTGAGCATTGAACGATGAAATTGTATATTTTTTAGTAATTTTGAACGATTTTTAGCAGAATTTTAATAAATGGGGCGATGATTTCTCTTAGGTAATGGAATACGAAACGACCGGATGGAATCAACAACAAGAATAAGATTGCTACTACTTAGGCACAATTTGGAAGAAACGATGTTTTAATTTAAGAGGCCTATTACAAAATGATGCCGCTCAACTTTAGGTTTAATCGCATGGATTTACGCACACATACAGTAATACACGCACACAGACGCAAATAAACGTGTAGCTCAATCGGTGTGGATTTAGTATGAACCATTTTGATCCTTGTAATATTTTAATTAATAATGTGATATGTTTTTACTGAACTGAGTAACTAACGTACTTATTGGATTTTTTTAAATAACGTGATTTATATTAATTATCAAAGTGCTAATAATGACCATATTTTTTTATTATATTATTCCTAGAGGGTTGATGTCAGGATGCTGGCCGATTGTACAACTAAAAGCCAAAACCTTAAGTAATATGAGTAACAAATAATTGGGATAAGGACAGGAAGATGAAATTACTATAACATAAATTTACTAATTAATTCCTCTTATATATTAATTCAATTTATTTATTAATAAGTACAATATAATTTATTATAAGAGTCGGATACATTATTGCCATATTCACTTGTTCTAAATATTAAACTTAGGCAAATAATTATTTTATTTATATATAATAGTTGTGTTTTCATGGCTTTGTTTCGATTTAAAGGACACACCTAATATATATCTAAGGATGGGATCCTTAGATGTATATTAGGTGTGTCCGCGACTTCGTCAGCGTGGTATAATGAAATTGACCAAATAAAAGAAATATATTTTGATTATAACCCAAAAAGGTTTCATTGATTCACTTAAACAATGACGATACTTTTATACAACCTTTCATCTCCGCTTTCAATCCCTTACAACCCTTTTTTCGCACTATAAAGTAGTCTATGACCTTTCTCAGGGTATACTATCTATCTATATAGACTATCTGTGTATATATATGGCAGTGAATTTACAGGGTACAGGGGATTAACACCCGAGTTCTCAGGAATGGCAACGCATGGGGGGATCATGGGGGAAACAATATGCGGATATGAACATGTCAGGTACTGCTCATGTCTATAGGCGACGGTTACCCCTTTCCATCAGGAGAGCTTGTTTGCCATTCTAAGTTGTATAAAAAGAGCTTCAACTGCTATCATTACTGTTCCTGCATCATTGACGTCGCCGCAAGATATTGGCTGATATTGCAGCTTCACGTTCTTGGTTGGCCGATTCTTGATTCTTGATAAATAATTACGAGCTAATATCAATTTTTTTATAAATTGATTTCATTGATAATGAAATCACCATGAGCTATAGAGAACCTTAGAAACACCTCTGCTCTCATAGGCGGTATTACTTTTATAGTTTTTTCTGGAGATTTCTGAAAGACTCTCTGTGTCATTAACATCGTCTCCCTTATGGACTTTAATTTAAAATTTGAAACTACTGACAAATATGAGAGCTCATTTTTATGGAAGCACAGATAGTGATTTCCTACACTAACTGCTCAAACTTGAGGAAGGAATTTCTCAAAAGCATGATCCAATCATGAAATTTAAGCCCGCTGAACATGTGCAATGGCGTCCCATTGGATATATTGCTTACTAAAGAATTGAAAGACAATTTAATTGTAGACCATTATAACCGGTACGTTACCTGGGCAACCACCTCATATACCAAGAATACCGATGATTCCAACTGATCTGCCAATATAATTTTAACGGGTTCAATTTCCGGTTAAAATATCTTCTACACATGTAATAGATCTATGTATGTTTTGATCTTAAAAAACTACGCAGATTTTGATTCGTTGTAATTTAACAGACAGAATAGATAGACTCAAGAGGAAGGTTTATATATAACGTCCCAATACTGTACACGATCTTTAAAAGCGCGATAACCTATATATCCCATGTTCACGCGGGCGAAGCCGCGAGCTGCAAGCTAGTCTCTAAATAAAAACATTTATAAAGTTGTTGACTTTTCACCCAAACACATATAATTATTTGACATAACTGTACAGTAATGAAAGTCCAACGAGTATAATAACACAATGGCTGCAATTTAGAACCACATTGCATACTAGATAATATAATTTAATTTAGAAAAAACTACAAAATAAACATAAAGTAAAATTCGTTTACATTTTTCTCTTAGTTAAGCGTTCTTTTTAAAAATACTAAAATGTTTTTTTTTTAATATTAACAATTAATTGCCATTAGTGTGACGAAATACCACGCTCTTGTGCTGTTCATAGTGCAGCAGAGTAGGTAGGTTTTATTTGTAACATAACTGTACTTTTGTCTTGGCATGCTAAAATAAATATTATATATATATATTAAATTAAATTAAATTAAATTAAAAAAGCCTTTTTATTTCTTGCTTATTACAAATCTATGGTGTTAGTAACTTAGAAATATATATTTATCACTATTTGTTAATTTATATTCAAGTATTTTTATTATTATTATTATTTACTATATGTATTTATTATTATTAATCTATTTGTTACTAATATGTATTTATATATTTACATATATTTAGTTATCAAGAACCCCATTTTGGGTAAAGGCCTCCTCCAAAAAATATATATATATAACAACTTTAAATTAATATTCGTAAAAATAAGTATGTATTAGCAAAAATAATTAAATATTAGTTAAATTATCAAAATTGTTTAGTCGCACTATACTAATGTTCACTGACAAATGTTTACGAATGTCTTACGTAGCGGTAAAATAGCATAGATGCTACCTCGACGAGCGCTAGCGCAGCACTGAGAATTTACTTTTGGCGCAACGGAATTTATACAACTTTAAATTATTATTATTGTTTATTTTTTTCTTAGAAACTTATTTTTTTTTTTATATTTCTAATTTACAAGTATATTAACTTTATTATTATGTTTTTTTTGTTCAAAAATTTCGTTGTATTTATGAGAAAATTAGAAATGATTATGGCAAAGTTTTGTTGAAATTTCGGGTTTAATTATGATCAATTTTTTACATATTTAAGTTGAAAATATAAAAAAGGACGATGCTGTCTCAATTTATAAAGTAATTATCAAGTTTTAGTAAAGATATCATATCAATTTATGTTTGTTTATTAATGAACGACGACCCCAAACTTCTGTCTCTTAGCGTTTTTGAATTAGTTTTAGAAATTAGGAGGACTAATAAGGAGAAAATTAAAACTTCAAAGATGTTGTTTTTAAGATTAGATATCTATCTATACAATTGAGGAATCAAAATGTATATCCGACTCTTAATATCTTAGAACCAGAACCACAAAGACCCCGCTTTTATGCCAAAAAATGTGAAAGGCCTCTTAAGAATATTTAATATGAAATGTAACCTCTTAGGCAACCTGGGTTTGATATTTTTTCAAAAAAATGTTAGAATTAAACGAGAGTGGCGTAAACCGACGAGGCGTGGTGGTGCGGGGAAGTCAGGGAAATTCTAGGTGGGGGAGCAAAGTTTTAGACGGAACTTATAATTGTTTGGATTAGACCGAAATTTAGAATGAAAATTGACCGAAATCGGACCTAGATTTTACGCTACTAGACGGGGGATACTGTAGGCACCCTAGGACAATTAAGGTCTAGGGTGATAACTGAAGATAGTATGAAAGAACGACGGCAGAAACCGAAATTTGTAAATTTTTTGAAAATTTTCAGACTAAATTACTGATTTCAGAACAACTTGGTAATCCAGAGAGAAACAACCTACAAGCAGGTGAAGGTGACCACTAGCACTCTAAGACAACATAAGTTTCTGAAGCAGACGACCTGGTGAGTATTGAACGGTGAAATTGTATATTTTTTAGTAATTTTGAACGATTATTAGCAGAATTTTACTAAATGGGGCGATGATTTGCGATGATTACTGTTAGGTAATGGGATAACAAACGACCGGATGGAATCAACAACAAGAATAATACTCGTATTTATAGTCGAGCAAAAGTAATTGCTTGAGCAAAAGTAATTACTTAAGCAAACATTTTTGTTTTATAGATAAGAATTCTTCTTAAGTAAGAACTAATAATCATTAGAATTCTCAGCAAACCATTAGTCACCATTTTTATTACTTAAGTATCGGCCAATGGTTTGAAGTAATAGTTTTGACAGTTGACTTGACATTGTATCATGGATTTTGAGGTTGTTAACTGCTTGACTTTTACGTGAATTGGTAACGTGTTGTTTATTTGGTCTGAGAACGTGAAACGTAAAAATACCATCATGAATTCTATAGAAAATTTATTTGAATCTTTGGATAATGTAACCAGTGATCCTTTAGATGAAGTTGTGGTACGCTGTTGCGTTGAATACACCGAGGTTAAACAAAGAATATGTTCGCCACAGAAACCCTCTGCGTGAGTACTCTGAAGATGAATTTAAAAGAAGATTCCGTTTCGCCAAACGTGTCGTAGTAGACATCATTTTGCCATTAATTATTAATGAATTAATGTGCGAAACTCAAAGAGGGCTTCCAATCTCTCCAGAATGCCAGTTGCTCACAGCATTACGTTTTTATGCAACGGGTAGTTTTCAAGCAGTATGTGGAGATCTTATTAATATATCCCAATCAACAGTGTGTCATATTGTAAAAAGAGTAAGTTGGGCATTAGCCTCTCGGATGCAGAACTTTATAGGATTCCCAAATTCTGAAAGAAACCTCAAGAGAGTGAAGGATGAATTCAAATAACTAGGACGTATAGATAGATATGGTGGCCTCAAGAATATTATAGGGGCACTGGACTGCACTCATGTTAAAATAAGTAAGCCAAGAGGTATTTATTTATTTTATTTATTTATATAACTTCAATGCACAAAATACCAAGGTAAAAGTACATATGGCGGACTTAACGCCTTACGGCATTTTCTACCAGTCAACCACAGGTTGTGCAGAGAAACTGTAGGCGGTGCAAATGAAATCAATAAGAAAAATAATGCCTATGTCATAAATAATATATATTTACTAAACGTAAGTACATGTAAACATACATATACAAATACATACAATATATATAAAGCTATAGATAAATATGAATAAAATACATACCTAAATATACCATATACACATCATATAACTTATACATACATATAACATACTTAATAGTCTGACAATGAAATAGCAACAGCAGATAGAACAACAAAAAAAACAAATTCTGGCAACTATAACATAGAAAAGATGTACAAATAACAATGAGTCACGCAAAAAGATAAAATGGAAAACTATTCTACATAATAGAAAAGTTACATGCTGGAATAGTATTCCCGCAATTTACGCTTTAAAGAAAACTTACTCGTGGCGGTCTTGATATCAAGGGGTAAGTCGTTCCAAAGTTTGATAGCCTGAACGGCGAAAGAATAGTGGATGAAACCGGACAAATGAGCCGGTATAAGAAGTAAACATTTTCTGGTCGTGCGAATAGAGCGAATGGTGTTGTCCCCATGGAAATGAAATTGATTGCTAATGTAATCAGGAGAATTAGAATCATATAGAAAAGAATAGAGAGTACATAGCATACGAACATTTCTACGATAACGGATAGGTAGCCATTTAAGCTGTGAACGAAAAGAAGAGATATGATCGAATTTGCGCAAGTTAAAAATGAAGCGGATAGAATTGTTGAGAAGCCGATCCAATTTGTTTAAAAGGTCTACGTTCATGTCAGAACAGCACACATCAGCATAATCAAGAGTGGGGAGAACTAATGATTGGACAAGGAGAGTTTTAGTACTTATAGGGAGAAAGTTTTTCAATCTATATAAGTTACGCAGTGTAATTGTGACTTTACGACTAACGTCACTAACATAGTTGTTCCAACTTAGAGTACTGTCTATAATTAAACCGAGATTTTTTACTTGAGAACTATACGCAATTGGTTGTTTATTAAATAGAACAGGAGGTAAAGTGTTGAAATTAATTTTATTTAGTTGTTTACTGCTTCCGAGGACTATTGCCTGACATTTGGAGGGATTAACAGCAACACCAAACTTTTTGAGCATACAGAACAGTATCGGAATAGAAAAGGGTACTTTTCTATAAATGTACAGGTTGTTGGTGATCCTTGTTTAAAAATACAGGACATAGTAGTGCGATGGGCTGGAAGCACACATGACAGTCGGATTTTTAGAAATTCCCGACTAAATATTAGACTGCAAGCAATGAATTTGATGGCATGTTAGTTGCAGATGCTGGTTATTCATGCACAAGGCACCTACTTACTCCAGTGTCTAATCCTACAACAGCTGCTGAAGAAAGGTATAATAAGGCCCAAATAAAGACGAGGAATTCTGTGGAGAGATTGTTTGGAGTATTAAAACGGAGATTCCCAGCCTTGCACAAAGGCTTAGCAACCAAACTGAGGACCACAGCTAATATTATTATTGCATGTGCTGTTTTACATAACATAGCCCTGGAAGCTAATGACCTTATAGAAGATTTAGAGGAACTGAATGTAGCCGACCACAATATACATACTGCAGCAACAACAGTTGCAACCAGTGATGGAATGGTTCTTCGAGCAAACATAATTTCCAGAGATTTTACTTAATTTATAAGCTGTTACTGTACATAATAATTAAAAACTTCTTTTTGTTTTAAGTTTACTTACTTTAAAATTAAAGGCATTTTAATATATAGTTATTCTATTATCTACCTAATCTTTGGTTCAAGTCATAAAATTACTGTTTACTAATTAATTAGGCAATAACAGGCGATAACCATTTACAAATTAAATTAAAGAAAGAGAAACTAAATAAAAACATAAAAATAAAGAATTAGCCATTATGTAATTGTTTTTTTTTTTCCTTTATTTCTAAGTCCCAAAGTATTTCTTTTGTTTCTCTTTCTTTAATTTTCATTTTTAATTCTTCTGCATGGACAAGTCTTCTGTGCTCCAACTCTTCTTCTAAAATTTTTATTTTTAATAATAGAATTATTTTAATAATATAATTTTACTAATATATTTTTCCCCAAAACAACTTTTTTTATTTTTCCCCAAAAAAACCTTTTTGTCTGTCCAATGTATGAGCTCCCACAACTACAGTCATCACTGGATTGAACTACACCAACCAAAAGTATTAACATCAGAACGGCATTATATCCCAAGAATGGTTAGAGAGGCCATTGAAATACAGAAATATAAAAATTTCAATCGAGAAGACGGCTATAGGCTCTCTGGTCTGGAATCCAGTGATTAGTTTAATTAAACAAAAACAAAATACGCGATCAAAAAGTGTATTAAATGTACGTAAAGATACTGTGAGTACAGTTTGCCGAGATGAATATCGAGCGAGTTCCAGTAGTAGCAACAAACGAAGACGTGTGAAGGTAGACGCATATGTCTGCCCATAAAAAGATTTCATTTTCCATCTACCCGCTGCTCTTCAGTTTACCCGTGATCATGGTGGTTGGAACACTACCGAAATATCGGGAACTCAGCAAATATAAAACGTGGTAAGATCCCGTGATTTTTACTAATTATACGTATAAATAATGACCGCGTCAAGTTTAAAACAGTATATGGATATGATGTTATGTTATCTTATATATAAAATATATATTTTACTCAGTGACACTTCTGTCGCTGTGGGTGAAGCTGCAAGGGACTATAATAATATAGGATTATAAAACTGAAAATATTTACCATTTACATCACTGTCAATGTCCACTTCAATATTTGTTAAAATATTTTTGTCAATTGCTATAACTTTAGCATCAATTGTGTCCATGTCTTCCACTGATGGACCTCCACCTGTCAAGAAGCGAACATTTTCTCTAGTTTTTGCTTCTCGAGCTTTTGCCTTCATATTGTACCACAGCTTTGTAAGTTGTTTAACTGAGGCCTGTAAACAGAACAAAACAAATCCTTAAGGAAAGATAAATTCAGCAAACAAGCACCAGTATTAGTGTATCACCTAAGTCTAGTTGACACTCCAACCAAGTATATTTAGTAGTTTTGTGCAAAACACAACAATCAAACAAACATACTCGAACTCATAATAAGTCTGTATATTGTGTCATAACGCTTTTATAATGTTATTATAGGTTAGTGCAAGCTAATGTCCGCGGCTTGTGATGTGCAGAATATAAGATACTGTAAGAGAGAGAAAATAAATCGTAAAGTGTTATATGTACAATAGGTACTTACTTTATGCGAAACGATTGGAGATGAATTAAATTCATCTTGTATTCTATTCCATGCCTGCTTTTTTCTTAGAACACTGGTACCATTTGTTTTTTTGCATGTTAAAATATTATCATATTTGTCAATTAACTTAAGAAATAAATCTTTTTCCAGACAGGAAAACGGTTTCTTTCTATCACAAATTATTTCGCTCATTTTGAAACCAACGACACTCGCAGAAAATACCAGCAAATCAAGATTGACAGTAAAAGTTAAAATAACCTTTCCAAATAAAATATCTAATACATTATGCTGTCAACTATACTATTACGAAGCGCCAAGTTGTCAAACAGAAACATTTTAATTCGGCCGAGTTATACTGTGTCACGCGTTTTAATTCTCCAATCTTGCAGATAATATATGTTGAAAAAAGTATATATTTTTATTGAAATTGCGAGTTGTATGAAAAGTTTTGTTGTAGTTATGGATTTTGTATAAATATACATAGGTATGGATATGTCTAGTAAGACTTTATAAATTAAATACAAACTTCGCGTTCGGCTATTTATGTAACAAAACGCCAAAGTTTAGTGTTGCCAGAGAGAACCAAGCATTACGTGTGTTACTCACTTAAGCTAATTTTTATGCATTTGCTTAAGTAAGTAATGTGAATTTCTCGTCTATAAAACATAATATGGTTGGTAAGAATTCTATGTTCAAGTAATTACTTCATTAAGAAGTGATCAAGCAACAAGTAATTACTCGTTTATAAATACGAGTGTAAGATTGCGACTACTTAGGCACAATTTGGATGAAACGATGTTTTAATTTAAGAATATTTAATATGAAATGTAACCTCTTAGGTAACCTGGGTTTGATATTTTGTTCAAAAAAATGTTAGAATTAAACAAGAGTGGCGTAAACCGACAAGGCGTGGTGGTGCGGGGAAGTCAGGGAAATTCTAGGTGGGGGAGCAAAGTTTTAGACGGAACTTATGATTTTTTGGATTAGACCGAAATTTAGAATGAAAATTGACCGAAATCGGACCTAGGTTTTACGCTACTAGACGGGGATACTGTAGGCACCCTAGGACAATAAAAGTCTTGGGTGAAAACTGAAGATAGTATGAGAGAACGACGGCTGAAACCGAAATTTGTAAATTGTTTTAAAACTTTCAGACTAAATTACTGATTTCAGAACAACTTGGTGATCAAGAGAAACGACCTACAGGCAGGTGAGGGTGATCACTAGCACTCTAAGATAACAAAAGTTTCTGAAGCAGACGACATGGTGAGTATTGAACGATGGAATTGTATATTTTTTAGTAATTTTTAACGATTTTTAGCAGAATTTTACTAAATGGGGCGATGATTTGCGATGATTACTCTTAGGTAATGGGATAGGAAACGACCGGATGGAATCAACAATAAGAATAAGATTGCGACTACTTAGGCACAATTTGGAAGAAACGATGTTTTAATTTAAGAATATTTAATATGAAATGTAACCTCTTGCCAAGACGCACCTTAAACGAGTAATCGGTGAAAATCCCCTTACCTTTGAGGAATTGACCACTGTACTTGCAAAAATTGAGTCTGTACTTAACTCTCGGCCTTTGTGTTCCTTATCTCAAGATCCCAATGATCTTGAAGTGTTAACCCCTGGTCATTTTCTCATTGGTCAACCCCTTACTGCGTTACCCGAGTACCCATTGAGAGACGAGAAGCAGCATCGCATTTCACGCTTTTACTTATTGCAACAAATTACTCAACATTTTTGGTCGCGGTGGCATTCAGAGTACCTATCAACCCTTCAAACTCGTAATAAGTGGACTTCTCCTATGAATCCTCCTAATGTTGATGAATTGGTTTTGATAAAGGATGACAACCTCCCTCCTTTAGAGTGGCGCCGCGGACGTATAGTACAGTTATTTCCTGGTCAAGACGGTGTAATTCGAGTGGTCGAGGTCAAAACCTCTACTGGTTCCTTAAAACGTTCTCTTACAAAACTGGTACGCCTCCCTATTGAGTAATATATTGTATAGCCCCTTTACCTTGTAATTTTTCCCTTAATTTTGATAATTTGTTCCGTAAACATCATAGCTGTTTAGAGCGGGGGCTATGTTCAAAATCTACCCTGTACCATCGTAAGCACAGATTATTATATTAGAGTCCGTTAGTTTTCTGTTCCCGCGCGTTCCCTTCCCCTCCCTAACTAGTAACAAACGGACCGTACAGCGGCCTTGACGCGCGCGCGCATGTGTTGTGAGTTGAAATAAATTAGAACTGAGAGTTTGAACTTAGAGTGAAACCTAATATGAAAGTGTGTGAAAGCTAGCGAAGCTATCTTCGAGACCCTGAAGCCCAAGAAATCCGCAGAACCATACAGGTACGCCAGACACACTAAATCCCCCTATGGAATATATAACATTTTGGTAGCAGAGTAGTTTCCCAAACAAGCTAATATGAAGCCACCGTAAACTGAATTGTTTTTAAACGGTCTTTTTGACGGACGCGACGCAACTGCTTAGATCTGTCAAATGAAACGCTCATAATACGAAATAGCCGGTCAGTTTTCGGGCAGAAGACGTTCAGCTGTCACGTGACCGCTGACTGGCTAATAGCGTTCGTAATACGAAATCGCCAGGCAGTTCAGTTTAAGCTGTAAACTGAATGGGAATAAGAGTTCATAATACGCCCGCTGACCATTTAACAAAACTACGTATAAAAGACAACAATATCTGTTAATGTGGAGAAGATGTGGGTGATCTAAATCATATTGTGTTTTCCTGCTCCTCTTATGATCGTTCTTCATTTATAGAGACACTCATCTCAGTAGAAATTCCTTTTCCTTCATCCATTATATGCCTATTAGCTCATGCTAGTCCTATAATTTATAAATCTCTTGCGTCCTTTATTTCCCATAATAACATTAAACTTTAAAACCCATGATCACTAATTCCGAGTATATTCAAAATTTACCCCGTTCCTTTCCATTATCCCGTCTCGTTTCCTGTTTTAGTGGCATAATAGGCAACACTAGCCTCTTGCCAAAGAACAAAATAAACGCATTATTGACAGATGACGTCATTTTCACTACGTTACATACGAAAATCGTTGCGAACGAAGTTAGATAATTAACCCACCGGTTTACGTACAGCGGACACCGATAGTGAGGAGCGTGAGATTGCACAGTTCATTTCTTTTTAGTTTTAATTTGATTTCCTCATTATAGTCACATTAGGTTTTAATTATTATTTATTTATTTTGTTATAGAGTACATACACTTATCTACATAATTACACGTAATTGATTTATGCTAAATAATACAAAATATTGCAAGTATTCATATAGAGGAAAAGGGATTTTTAAGACAATAATATCCAATCATTTTCAATACGTAAGCGTTTAATTAAAATTAATTATTATGTCTCAATGTGGTGATGTTGATGATTCTAAGAACTTAGCAGCGTTATTCACATGTCGTAGTTCCATCAAGGGTCAAATCACAAAATTTCTAAATTACGTCGAAAAGGTTGCGAGAATAGATTCCTTAAGTACTGCAGACATTGCAGAATTATCTTTAAGACTTCGAAAAATGGAGAATTTATCTGCCAAGTTTGACAAGCTACAATATCAAATAGAAGTTCAGAACCCTCATAGGTTGTCTTCCGAGCTTGAAGAAAGAGATAACATTGAAACGGATTTTATAACGTCTATTGTAGCGGCCAAGACTTTAATTGACGAATATAATCATCATCAACCTACTCATGCAGACTTAAACAATTCACAAAATATAACACAATGCCATTGCAATCACGGTGGCAGTCCATTAACATTGCCAACCCTACAAATTAATAAATTTAACGGCTGCTATTTATTATGGCAGGATTTCCGCGATTCATACATGTCACTAGTCCATAATAACGATCATATTCATCCAATTAATAAATTTTACTACTTAATTTCATATCTGCAGGGTGACGCGGCGAGAATTCTATCTAACTTAGAAGTGTCAGCAGCAAACTATAAGAATGCCTGGCAGTTGCTACTCAACCGCTATGACAATAAAAGGTTATTAATTAGCTATCATTTAAATTCTCTCTTCGATATACCTCCTGTTGATCGAGAATCCGATCAATCAATACGTTATGTCATAGATCACGTGACTAAAAATCTACGAGCATTACATAGCTTAGGTCAAGCCAATGACAAGTGGGACACTTTAATTATACATATAGTTTCGTCTAAATTAGATACAACAACCCTCTGATCAACTTGACAGATCTAAGCGGACGCAACTGTCAAAAAGACCGTTTAAAAACAATTCAGTTTACGGTGGCTTCATATTAGCTTGTTTGGGAAACTACTCTGCTACCAAAATGTTAGGGAATATATAGGGGGATTTAGAGTGTCTGGCGTACCTGTATGGTTCTGCGGATTTCTTGGGCTTCAGGGTCTCGAAGGTATCTTCGCTAGCTTTCCAGTTTCACAGTAGGTTTAACACAGTTCTAATTTATTTTAATTCACAATACAATGCGCGCGCGCGTCAAGTTCAGTACTGTAGGTAAAGGAGGGGAACAGAAACCGCGGGAACACAAACTAACGGACTCTAATATAATAATCTGTGCTTACGATGGTACAGGGTAGATTTTGAACATAGCCCCCGCTCTAAACAGCTGTGATGTTTACGGAACAAATTATCAAAATTAAGGGAAAAATTACAAGGTAAAGGGGCTATACAATATATTACTCAATAGGGAGGCGTACCAGTTTTGTAAGAGAACGTTTTAAGGAACCAGTAGAGGTTTTGACCTCGACCACTCGAATTACACCGTCTTGACTAGGAAATAACTGTACTATACGTCCGCGGCGCCACTCTAAAGGAGGGAGGTTGTCATCCTTTATCAAAACCAATTCATCAACATTAGGAGAATTCATAGGAGAAGTCCACTTATTACGAGTTTGAAGGGTTGATAGGTACTCTGAATGCCACCACGACCAAAAATGTTGAGTAATTTGTTGCAATAAGTAAAAGCGTGAAATGCGATGCTGCTTCTCGTCTCTCAATGGGTACTCGGGTAACGCAGTAAGGGGTTGACCAATGAGAAAGTGACCAGGGGTTAAGGGACACTTCAAGATCATTGGGATCTTGAGATAAGGAACACAAAGGCCAAGAGTTAAGTACAGACTCAATTTTTGCAAATACAGTGGTCAATTCCTCAAAGGTAAGGGGATTTTCACCGATTAC